CCTTGCCGCATCTGATCGGCCCCATCCCGACTGAGGCTCGAACCCGGGACTCCCGCGTCTCTCTGCAGTGACCCAGCCCCGTGAGCTAAAGAGAGATCTCTCTACAGCCCAGTAGCTGTAGTCCTGCTATCACAGGGAAGGGCGGTGACGTCACCTGCTCTGGTACGCCGGCTCTTACACAGTGCCTGTCGGCCGTAAGCGTTACAGGATACTCCGGATCTCTCCACAGTGCTGTCCTAATACTCGCTCTCTACCTTTTGTTTCTCTCAGGACATGTAGCCTCGGACCCCCTCCAGTTCAATGAGCACAGGGCATGTTTATTTAACACGTTTGAATTACAATATATAGGACGGTGCAGTGGCTCTGTGGCTGGCAGGTGGCCGGTTTGTATCCTGTGGCTGGCAGACGAATCCTACTCTGTTTTGCCCCTGAGCAAGGCACTTAACCGCAGCTGCTCCAGGGGTTCCCTATAAATGGCTGACCCTGCGCTCTAACCCCAAGCTTCTCTTCCTGTCTGTGTGTCTCATGGAGACAAAGCTGGGGTATGCAAAAAGACAAAGAAATTGTATATGGCCAAAAAGTTATCTTATCTTAATATAAGTTGCATTTTACCTAAACATATTTACATAAAAATTATATTCACAAACTGTACCAAAACAACAAAAAATACATATTAAAACTTTAAAATTCACACAGCGCTGCAGAAGGGACCGACAGACTCTGCTGGATCTAAAACAGACACAAACTACTTGACAACAGTGGTAGCGCACAAGACTCCCCACTGTGGGTTGTCAGCTTTTTTAGTGAGGTGGGACAATGCGCGGTTTTTGGGAGTGCGGAGTACACCGGCTTACTGTCTGATATCTACGAAGGAGACAGAGTGCCGGTGTGAAATCAACATGTGGGTGAGGTATTTTTATTTTAAATATTTTAAGGGTGAGCGATATCACTTTGTGGAGAGACGAATATAAATTGTTCTCTAGCTAGAGAGAGAGAAAAGTTATGGAATGTTCGGCACTGTTCTATGACGAACGATTTTGTCAGTCACATGAGCATTTAGTCTAGACAGGCTCAATTAGATACAGTACATCATTGGCTGATATAATGAAAGCTCTTCCGGGAGTTTTGACCTGGCAGTGAAGGCACTGAGGGAGAAGGCACTCAGGGCTTTCTACGCAATAAGAAGGAGGCTCTTCAACATCAACCCACCAACAAGAATCTGGCTCCAAATATTTGAAAGTGTAATCCAACCCATTGGCCTATACGGCAGTGAAGTGTTGGGTCCCCTCACAGACCAGGATTACACCCAATGGGACAAACACCCCACAGAAACTCTGCACATGGAGATCTGTAGAA